ATATCACCTGTAAAATCACTACACACATCTTCTAGAATCATATGCAAATTTCAGGAAGTAACCAGATGACGCCGATGGTACGTCACAATGACGTGTAAGAGAGTGATATATAAGGAATACAGGCAAAGAAGTAAAATTGTTCGCAGGCGCTTTATAAGCATTTCAGCGCAATAACCGAATAGTTATGACACAAAGGACGCATTTGGATGATTTTTTACGTGTAGAATTATCGGCCGTCTGGAATGTAGGCATACCCAACTGGAAGTATCAGACGAACTTGGAATTGCCCAGAGTGTGATCTCCAGGCTTTGGCAACGATTCCAAGATGATGGTAATGTGAGTAGACGTTACAGCACAGGTCGCTCCAGAGTTACAATGTCGAATGAGGACCAGTATTTGGCAGTTACCGCCAAAGAAACAGGCGGAGCACAGCCTCAGACCTGTCTCGTCAGCCCTCTTCAGCCACTGGTACGACAATTTCAAGGCAGACCATGTACAGACGCTTAGGGCAGATTGGTCTATATGCTTGTAGACCTGTCAGATGCGTTCCACTTACTGAAACTCACTGTCGCCTGCGGTTAGCCTGGAGTAGAGAGCATGCATTGTGGACACCGCAACAGTGGGCTTGTGTGATGTTTTCCGACGAGTCCAGGTTTAGTTTGCAGTCTGATTCTCACCGGACTTTCATATGGAGAGCTCCAGGTACCCGTTACCACCAAGAAAATATCACTGAACGTCACCGTTACGGTGGTGCAGGAGTGCTCGATTGGGCTGGAATTTTTCTGGGTTTCAGAACTGACCTGAATGTTCAAATTGGAACCATGACAAGCCAAATCTATCGGGACTTCATTCTGGAACAACATGTACGTTTGATTCGGGGCGCCATGGGCGCACAATTTGTTTTTATGGATGACAACGCCCGTCCTCACCGTGCAAACATCGTAAGCGAATGCCTTCAATCGGAGGATATCACCCGTATGGACTGGCCAGCATTCTCACCGGACTTGAATCCAGTAGAGCACGTGTGGGGCATGCTTGGCCGACGAGTTACAGCCCGTCAACCTCCTCCTACATGTCTACCGGAACTTCGGAGAGCATTGCGTTTTGAGTGGTGTAATATCCCCTAAGATCAGATCGATAATTTGATACTCAGCATGCCTAGGCATTGTACGGACTGTATTGCATCGTCTGAGAGAAATACAATGTATTAACAATTATACCAACCGTGTAATATTGTTTTTTTGTAAATAGTTTTTTTTTTGTAATTTGCTCCAGGGAGAAAAAATCGCTAATTTTTTTAGTAATATCAAACATATAGCATGTCTTTTTGCTCTTTACCTTTTGTTTAATAAATAAGCTTTACAAATAAGTCAAATTTTGTTTTGCTTCTAACTCTTTCTTTGCCTGATTTTGCATTATCCTTAATGCATTATCCTTAATTTATGGACATGAGTGTATTTGTTGTTTTGAAAATTAAAATTTCTGCCAAAATTATGCTCTAAATGTTAATTTAATTAAATTAAAATTCGTTGAGTTTTAGAAATTTAATTTTTAATTAAATTGAAAATTGTAATTAATATTTTATTATTTTCTTCTTAAGCATTTGTAATTTTGAAAAGAAAAGTATTTAATATTACAGGAACAGAAAATTAGTTAAAATTTAAGTTATTAAACTCTAAATTTAAACCCAAAAGATATAAAATCTATACGAACACATTCAGATATTTCTACGCAATATGCAAAGCTGAATATAATGATATACCACTTTTGTTTTAAATAAATTAAGGCAAACGAAAACAAATTCTTTCCCTTCCATATTATTATTTTAAAATGATAACCATTATGACTTACTTTTACAGCATCGAGCATGAAATATTGCATATGTGATTTCATATACATTTTTATTTTATATGAATTTCTTATTTTATACGACTATATTTGATATGCATTTTTATTGTGCATATCTTTAGATGCATTTTTTTTCTTATATTCATTACGTGATTTATACTAGTTTAATAACGTGCGTTGTTTGAACTAACGCCTTTTTTCACCTTTATTTATTTTATGGAAGAAGGGAAAGTATAGAAGAAGAAGTGGAAAATAAGACAGTAGCCCTAGATTTTAGTTCTGTATTCTACTCTGCAGTCAGTATTTTAATTTATATATTTATTCAGTATATATCTACATGCATAAGAATGCTATTAAGAGTGAAAAACAGTCATATTTTTATCGCAGTGCATTTGCGTCAGTACAGAAATTTGTTTTCATTTGCTTACACCACTTTATCGTCCTTTGCATCGGATGCCCTAATTGTTAGAAATACAGTTCTAAAATACATACAGTGCTAAAATGTTTTAGTTGTTAAAAATACAGTAAAAGGTAATATTTCGCTAAATCCAGCAATCATTCTTCACACCTGGGAAGGGTTTAAAGTGATCTGAAAGGATCTCACTTTCCTTGCTTGCACTGCATTTCGAAAATTAAAGTAACACAGTTGAAGAAACAAGTATAATATTTTAAGAGAGGAAATGATTTAATAATTCCATTGGCTAAAATTCGATTAAAGTGTAACAGAAGCTCTTGTTAATGTTAAAAGCCGCATTTAATTGACAAACTCTTCGAATCTCGTGATTAAATGGAAGTTAATAAATCGGAGTTAATTCATGGGTAAATGAATTAATAAAGCACTTTTCTGTGGATTCTGTTTTCCTCCTTTAGCAGAAAGTATTTAGTTTCATTTATATCTAAAATGTACTCTGGTTTATTTACGGCTGTTTCACTTATCTGGAACGCAATCCAAGCTAATCAAAAAAGAAAGTGATGGCGCACTTTTCTTCCATTATATTCGGATTTATTAAACATGAACATATCACTGAAATGCCACTATTGAGCAGAAACATTCTGAATTAAGTTAAATGCTCTCCCTAATTGTGTTACTTGGACATGGATTTCCTGTTTATTTGCAAAATGTATATTTTGTTTTCATTTTACAAATAACTTTTCCTTAATTTAAAAAGTAGTCATTATTTGTTTGATAATTAAACATTCCCTCCAAAATTATTATATATATATATCATAATTAAACATTCCCTACAAAATTATTTCATATATATTACAATTAAAACATTCCCTGAAAAAGTTTAACCTCTTCTCGAAGAGTTAGATTAACGAAAATAATTCATGAAATTAATGCTCAAGAAACCCTCTACGCAAAAAATATAATCCGATTAGGATTTCAATAAAAAAGATTAATATCAAGGCAATACAATAATGTTGTAATCATATAGATTAGTATCAAAAACTACATCCTGCATTCTAGTAAAACTGACTAAATAAAAACGTTGTATGTAAATTCCCCTTACTTAAATTTGAATTTCTTTCCTTCACTTCGCTAGTGAAATCCTCATAGCGCAAATTCAATAAGATCATTCATAGCAAAACAAAGGATGAACATTTTAACTAGGCAGAATCAAGAGAAATATAGGTTGCAAAACTAATCGCTGAAATTTTGGTAACCATCTAGAATCTTACATCAAGATCATTTCATGCTTATAATAGTAAACTGATTTTTTTATTTGTGAACATACAAACTCCCCGTGCACCGGGGTACCATGTACAACACGGGGTTTACAGAAGTAAGTTAACTAAAACATTAAAAGTTACATGATAAATAAAACGAACAAAAACAGAGAACAGCAATATGGACTTCACGAAAACAGATTAAGTTCACTATCCAAGTCTCTCCGAACATTTTCAAATCATTCTGCAAGCATAATCTAGGGCCATCAAATTTAGGGCATGAGAAAATCAAATGTTCCACATCCCAAGGTACTCTTTTTGAATATTCACATAAATTGTTTTATTAGTTTAAAACGAAACGATTTATCGGATTAAAACGAAACAAGTAACTTTCAAATTTTCCCTGACCAGATAAAAACAGAGAAACTTTAAAATTAATAGAGAGGAAAGACTCGGAATGCAGTCTGTGGTAAACAGAAGGAAAGAACTTTCTGGTGACCTCAGCATTGCAAGATGAAATATATTCCACATTTCACTTAGCTAAAAGCATCTTATAATGAAAGGACTTCCAATAGCTCTTTGGAATGATAATGTTGGTATCAATAGGTAAATTTAAGGCATCTTTAGCTAAGAAATCAGCTAAGAAATTTTACTGATTGAAACATTTTAATAGTGATCATAATCCGTAAATTGCAAATGTAGTGCATGAGGAGATCCAGTACAATTTCCCATGCATTCCTAAATATGCCATAGGTGAGTTTACCTTTTTAAAGTTTTTTTAAAGTTTAAATTTATTCCATTCAGGCACTTTGCAATATCAAAAGAAGTAATAACTACATTTCCACTTTCAGTCTTTATTATTGGAGTTATGAAATTAAAACAGAAATGACATCTTTTACAATAAGTCATGTTGAGTGTTCATTAGTTCTCATACACTTACGGCCACTGCATTTAGAAGGCTGGTGCTAAAAAATGTATAGATAATTTATAAACAAACTTTCGTATAAATACACGTTTCAGAAAAAAATCAGTATTTTATTGCACTGAATAATCAAGGAACGAATTAATTAGCTGTTTCAAAATTTTTGAGTAATATCTTCTTCTGTAAAAAGCAAAATTAAAATGAATAAATTTTTAATTTCCTTAATTCCTTTTATAATAAATGCCTTCCGTAAACTTCAAAATAAATATCTACCTACCCCTCTCTCTCTCCCTTCTATATATAAGTACATACATAATTATTAATTTTCAGTTTATGATTATCTTATAGGAAAGGAAATATAAAACTACTGCAAACTGAAATTAGGAATTGTTAATACTAAAGAGGATATATTTGTTTCTGTACTTTCAAAATTTGTTCTCCATAAAATTTTACACTACAGTCAGAAAATAGTTTATAATAATCAACAAGTACGAGACTGTCCGTCAACTGTGAAACGTTATCAAAAATCCAATAAACTTTTTCTGGTTTCTCATTTCAGTGCCTCCGCAAAAGCTGGTAATCTTAAACGACCACGACGAAGAAATAATTGGCATGGCGGGCCCCTACTTGGAGGGACAGAGCGTCAAGCTGACATGCGAAGCCATCGGAGGTGTGTAATTTAAGACATACTGATTATTAAAATTTTAAATTCGTGCCTGTTTGTATGGTAAGCGACTTAAGAGTCATTAACGTTTTTTGATGATGCGAGATTGTTTCATTAAAATGATGTTTAATTAGGCTGTGAAGGCAAAGTTGCTCGCAACTATTAATGATCATTTTGCTTTCGCAATGCGAGCAAAGTTTCTGTAAAAAACACAATTTTTTTCTATTAATAATACACAATGAAAAAAAATATTGAGAAGCGTTTTCTGATCTTTTCTTCAGCCAGTCATAAATGAAATTCAGTTAGTTATTTTAGCAATTTTAATAAACATTTCTTAAAAAATTCAGCTATATGTGCATTCTATATTTTATTGTCTACTATTGTTATTTTATAGGGCAGCTTACTACTGTAATAAAGCTTGGTGTATAACAGCAGGTTCTAATGACAGTTACATGCACATGCAATTTTTTTTATTTTTTTCTGCTTTCTAATATTTCTTTCATCTATGATCACAGTTCTTGCATACATAGATGTAAAAAAACAAACACATCCACTCAAGTAAATCAAAAATAAACAATTCTAATTATTTTGGTAATGAACTTAATATTCTAATATTTTTTCTTAGTTCCACTATATCCTGCATAGTTAGTTTCTAAAGCTCAATACATGTTTGAGATTCATCGCGCATCTTCAAAGTATTCCCTCTCGCAGGTTTGTAACAATGTTTTTTACTCAGAATAGAAGATGCTTCTTTCCAAAATGGATTCCAAAGGGATTTTCTTCCTGACGTCTGTACGCAGGTACGTATGTATGTATCTCGTATAATTCAAAAACAGTTAGGCGTAGAACGTGGAAATTTTATACATGGAATTGCTGTAACATCTGGCTATGCATTTCCCTTTTTTATTGCGATCAAATATAATAAAATTGCATACACACACATATTGTATAACATATTGTATATAATATGCAAGATATAATAAAATGTTAATCCCCTTAAATTCATCTGTTCTCCCAAATTCGAGATTTTTCTACGGTATGTAACGCTGCTTGGAAAAGGCAACTAAAACTAAAACTAAACAATCATAGAAAAATTAGCTGTACTTGTACATTAAACTTGGTATAAATACCGCTGGCGGTTAGTTATGTCACTCTTCCGCTGCATTCCTTTCCCTAGCTTCTGTCTTTGCTAAAGTATCTTCTAAGCTGTGCTAAAATGATGTGGCCCCATTAATATGTATAAATTGTATATAAGAAATTATATTGATTGCTATGACTGTCTACAAGGAATTATTCTATAGTGCATGGAAATCTACAGATAGATATGACAATTGGTTAAAGCAAGTTTGGTATCAACTCCTTGCTTTCCCTCCGTGCCACTCAACAATCGCGACTGTGCTTCGAAATTATGACACACACATACACACACACACACACACACACACACATATATATATATATATATATCAGATTGCAGTCAAATGCACTAAAGTGCACACATATATAAATATGTTGGTGTTAGTCATACACATCCAGTAGCAGAAGTGTTTTAAATGACGAATATATTTATGTATTCGCAATGTCAAATTAAAAAAAAATATTAATTTTCCACAAAAAACGAAATTTCACTTTTAATGCTGTCGTCTGGTTCCTACACTTAGACTATTTGCGGGAGTTTTACACTCGTTATGTAAAACTAAAATTACAAGGAGTTAGACTTTCTCATAGAAAAACTGATCGGGATATTTAATTTCCAAATTTGTAATTTTTGATGTGAGAAATTCGAGAAAATAAGTTTAAATGAAGTGCAGCAAAAATATAGTATATAACTTAACAGGCGGCATAAGGAAGTTATTTGTTGTCCATATCAAATCTTATTTTCAAGTAGAAGAATTAAAATGTTTTTGGTGTCTAGATGTTTCTGTTAAAATGCAATTATTCAGTTTTTCTTGTCCGATTATATGTGCGGATAATTTAATGAAAACTCCCTGTTAAGATAGTGTTTGAATTTGAGTAAGAACTACATACATCATCTTACTGAAACATCTGACAAAGCCTACATATTTTATGTATCTGAAATGTCATTGGTTGATAAATAAAATTACAATAGAATTTCCTTTAATCAGCCTTTTCGAATCTAAGGGAGACATTAGATTACAAACCCAAAATGTCATGCGTAATTAACTGGCAACATTTAAAGGATTCCTGACAAATGAGCACTTTAAACTTCTCAAAAAAAAAAAAAAAAAAACATTAAAGCACAGAAATGTTTGTACAAAAGATAAAATATGGAAATTACCGAGGACCTTCTAATTACCATGCAATAAGCATCAGTCAACGCATGTTACTCACATCTATTTCTATAATTTTTTCATTATTTTATTCTCTAATTGATAGAACTACCTAATTCTAACTAATTAATTAAATATGCTTAGCAGTAATATACGTCGCGTCGAGTTTCCTTAAATTTAAAATTCTTCTGGAAACTGAAAGCAAGAATCTTTTACTGATAATAGTACTACTACAGATTATCGGAATTGCTAATAAAGCATTTTTAGTATATACACTGGTTTACAAAACAAACTGGAAACTCAGGATAGCTCAAAACGTATGCAAGAAAATCATATGAAACTTTGTAATAATATTTATTATATCATTTGTAACTTAAAAACACAAATGAATATTATTTAAGATATTTACATTTTATGATAAAACATGATCATAAAATCTCCTAAATAAGGACTTTCAAATTTAATAAAAAAAATCTAAGTAATGAATATGATCACTGCAAATAGCAGACCTGACAAAGATGTGTTTATGCAAGATTTTCTAGAGGTACATATGGATATGACGTTTGTTTATAGAATATAATCCTCATCCACTTACAGCAAACCTCGTTGTTGAATTTCTTGAAAATCAAGACATTTAATGATTACCGTGACCAGCAGAGTCTCCTGATTTTAATCAGGAGATCTATATCAGAAGAATCATCTCCTTGTGATTCTCCTGATAGAGAACGTTTGGTACACCCTAGAAAAAACGGTTGGAAGGAACCATCTTTTTCCTACAAATGTAAATGCCCTGAAAGCTCAATTGCTGGAAGAATGTAACTTAATTCTTCAAAGTGTGCAACCCCAACGTTATTGGCAGCACGAAACCAACGTTACTGCCAGCATGACAACACTTAACAAGCCAGAAAAGATTGCCTTTCGTATTATTCACAAGCCTTAAATTTTTTATGAGTTCTTTATTTTTTAACTCTTTGTAAAACATTATTCAAATTTTCCTAATTTAATGCTACTATGTTATATCACATACAGTGGTTTGTATTTTTGCCTTTGTATTTATATGTATCATCCCATGGAAATTTATAAAATTGTAAATCACACTTTCTGAGAAATCCATGATTTCATGCCTCTAAAAATAATCTTGGACATTAATGTATTTTGGGTGTATTTTTGATGTATGGGTATTATGCAATCATTGGCTGATGATGCTATTCATCTCTCTAATTGATGAATGACATCCATGGTGGGATCTCAGGACTCTATGCTAAGATTTGTGTGAGATACAGTAAATGTTTTAAGACTTTATGGTTGTAATTTTTAAATATCGTTGGTATTTCGACATTTTGTTAATGATTTGTTAACACTTACATTTATTAATGAATATATCCGCACTGCAAAAACTTTATTGCTCTTTAATTTAATACTTTGTTTTTTGTAATATATTTTTAGATTTGTGGCTTACCAATTTTACAGTTTTCGGAAAGTGTTCTTTAATTTTGTTCTGTGTTTTGAATGCATTTCTGTGTTCTCAATGCATGAATCGATCGGACGAAACCATCTTCTTCCTACAAATGTAAATGTCCTGAAAACTCAATTGCTGGAAGAGTGTAACTTAATTCTCCAAAGTGTGCAACCCCAACGTTATTGGTAGCATGAAACCAACGTTACTGCCAGCATGAAAACACGTTGTATACGTACAAGCCAGAAAAGATCACGTTCCTTATTATTAAAAAGCCTTAAATTTTTCTTATTTCCAAAATCTATTCTAATGTTAGACAAAAATAAATTATAACTAATAATGATTCATGTACAGTTGTAGAGTCCAATAGATGAACTTCTGTCGGAAACTAGAGTAGCAGGAAACTACGCAAGAGAAGGGTAAAGTACCCTTTATTAAATCTTTGAAGTTTTACAATGCGTCAACTCGACGGCAACAAACTTCGCCTTTGTTTGGGCGGTAACTGAAAATCAATTAATGAAACTAAAAATTTGAAGGTATTAACAAACGGGACTACAGGGACTACTTCTAGACTACATGGCTCAGCGAGATCCCATAACTTAAACCCCCTACGAAGCTAGTGGCCGCAAATAAATGCAATTAAGCCACTTGACTCAGCAATAAGCAAACGTACCTACGGCAGAGACGGCGACTAGAGCCTAACTCTTTGTTTCTCCTACCGAAACTCGGCTTTTATATACTTTCTACAAAGTAGAAATTTGCATTACTCCACGCGCGCTACAGCATTTAACGATTCTGGCACTGACAGTTAAGGGAATGAAGGTTTATAGGAAAGTTTGAACTTAAACTTTAAATTGTTAGTTAAAATAAATATAAAACCCTACACAGTAATGAAAAAAAAAATTGGATGAAATATTACTAATTACAAATTTTTACCATTTCATTAATGTTTCTTAAATCAAAGAAATGTTTAATAATAGAGTTTAATACAGTATACTTTAGAATATATTGTGTACGTCTTCTGCATGCAACGTCTTAGTAATATTTTACTTTATCTACAAACATTAGCAGTTTTTTTAATACTTTTTATATTTTTCTTTGGTAATTTAGATGTAAATCTAAAAATCTCTCAATTCTCATATATATATATATATATATATATATATATATATATATATATAGCGAATTAAATTATTACATAAATTAAGCTAATAAGTTTTAGGCAAATATTTCTGACAAAATACAGTTACGCAGAGTAG